AAAACACGCTTCTAAACAAAACAAGACAAAACAAAACAAAACAATGTTATTGTTTCCTCTCCTCTTTTGATTTTAAAAGTAATACATGCTCTTTGCAGAGACTTTGGAAAATACAGAAGAGAATAAAGAGCAACTGACACCAGCGGTAAGCCCCCAGCCCGAGCTGACTGTGGGGGCAACCTCTGGCACGCAGGAGCGAACCCCTGTGAGCTGACCTTTCTGACCCATCCATTAGGGCCTGGTCAGAGCCAACCGTGGGAAAAAGCTGCCGGCAGGGCCTGGGAGGGGCAGCCATTGTCCCACACCCCTCCTACCCCGTAAATCCTTCTCAGCCGGAGCCTGCAATGCCCCGTGGGAAGATTGATGGGGACATTGAGCCTGTCCCTGCCCTGGAACACTTGTGATTTAATTCCTGCCCAGCCCGAGGGAGCTTCTGAAGCTGTTCTTTGCAAAAACAATGCCATTCCTGACCCTGAGAAGGAGGAGAGTGGAGAGCTCGGGCCACCCTCCACACTGACATGTAAGGCCAGGGGTGGCCAGAGCCCAGAGCCTAGCTGATCTGTCTGGCGGGAGGTATCTCTGAATGACGAAACAGTGACCTTCCTGCCACCATTCAGACCGTCCCTGTGGAGGAGGGCAAGGGGTGCAGAGGGACTCCCTGTAAACAGGGGAGGGATGAACACCCCCGCCCCAGAGCAGGACACGTCTCTTCCAGCCTCCTGTCTGTGCTGTTGCAGTTTTGGAAGAATCTCCCAGAATCTCAGGGAAGGAAAATTTGCACATTGAAAATGCCTCCACTTCGGTCTCCACAGGAAGAGACTGGAGTCTATAGGCTCCTCCTCCAGGAGGGGCTGGGGTCTGAGGGAGGGCTGGGTCCTCGGAGCCAGGTAGACCCACGTTCTGGGCCTGATGGCCACTTCCTAGCCCCGTGGGACTGGGCTCCTTCCTTCCCGCTGTGAGCTTCAGTCATCTCGTCTGTAAAATGGGAATGGCCATCACGCTGCCTTCATACGGGAGGCTCCAGGCCCATCCGAGATGGCACAGTGTCTCGCCCATGCAGCCCTCAGGCCCCAGCAGTTGCAATCTTATCTATATGTCTCATCGGCAAACATGTGATCTCATTTCATCCCGTTATACTGCTGGACAGGAATCCTCAGTCCCCGTGGATGGATGAGGAAGACCAGTCTCAGAGAGTTGGAGCCGTTTGCCTGAGGTTCCACGGTCAAGACTCAGGTCAGGCTTGAACCTGGGTCTGGTGACCTGAAGCCCTCACCTCTGACCCCTCAGGACTGAATCTTCTTTTTCTGCACTGGCCTGTGGCCTGATTGGCCTCCCAGGGGGCCCCCAGCCCTGTGACTCCACCTCCTGTGACTTACATGGCAGTGGTGGGCTTGGTAGTCTCATGGCCCGATGGGCAGGTGGTGGGGCAGTGTGGTGAAGAAGCTCGTGGCCCGGTCAGCTGCGCACAGTGGCCCGGGGCCACCCACCACCCCAGCTCGCCACAGGCCACATGGTCACATCACTGTGCGGCTGCCCCGGCCAAGCTCACCGCCCTCCTTCTCTGGCCCCTCCACCCTGCCTCTTCTGTTCCTAAACTGTCTGCGACCTCAACTGTCCTCAGAGCTCTTGGGACGGCCTGGCAGGAGGGCAGCTGTCATGATGGATAGGGGTGGGCTGCTCACTCCACTCGACCATGGAAACTTGGAGTCACCTCCGTGGGGGCGTCCTTTTCTCCCTCCTCCAAGATGGCTTTTCATCCTAACAGTGAGGTTGTTCTGGGAGGTGCGTTTGTCAGGAAATAACAGCCTCTCAGCAGAGGGCAGCTCTCTGGAGCCTACATCAGAGTCCCCATTTCCCTGGCTTGGCGTCCTTCCCACCATGGCCGTGGCCCCTCCAGGGATGGCTCCGGGACTGGCCTGGAGTGCTGGTCCGGAAAAGCTCCCCGCAAAGCCTGGCGGGCCAGGGGCTGCAGATAAATTCACAGCCTGGTGGGGCCGGGGATCCAGGAATGTTCCCCCACGCCTGGGCAGGCTTCCTCCCAGGCCACTGGCCACCTGTGGCTGTACGTCCACGGGAGGAGGGGAGTCCTCTGCTTTCCACGGGCGCTTTGTCTTCTCAAATACAGTGGGCACCTATAGTTCTTCGTTATCTTTCAAAATACGTTTAGCAAGAAAATATATATAGTGTCTCGTGTGTTAGTTAAAGGCATGACAATGACACAAATACGCCGCCTCTGATTGTCATGGGTGTAAGGAGACACAGCTGGGGGACAATGTGGGTGGCAGGGATGTGAGATCTGAATCTGAAACTCGCTTCTGCCACTGACTACCTGTGTGGCCTTGGATAGGACACAGCTGCTCAGACCTGTGTCAACTGAAAATGGGTGCACCAAAGGCACAGGGCATCCTCGAGGAACAGGTCCTAAGACACCTGCAGAGCTTTTCTGTTTTTTGGCAAAGTGTGGGGAGCATGTTGGCCTGTGTATGCTTGTGAGTAGCGGGCACCCAAGGTGCGTGAAGATGCAGGTGCTGGGTGGCTAATGTGGTCTCTGTCACCTGAGTATTAGTAGCTACCCTGCGGCAGGGTCATCCGGCCCAGCCTTGGTGATGTCCCTGTCTCAAGGAACCTTTGATCTCTGCCAGCAGCAGGGAGGGCCATGTTGTCTCCAGGGGCTCCCGTGTGCTGGGGGCCAACCTCGGGCGTTTCTCATTTGGCGGCTGAGGAGGGTCCCTGCGGCGTTCCCAGCCGGCCATCTGCTTAGGTGCTCACTCTGTCTGATGCTTAAGGATAGCTTGGCACGAGAATGGAATAAGCGCTGCCTTTACCCCATCTTTCTGGATGCTACTTCCTGGACCCCTTTCCCGTCACTTGCCACCTCCCTGCTGTTCTTCGGAGCATGGCAGAGCACACGGTGGCCATTCTCCCATGATGCCTCCTCGCAGCCACTGCTCTGCTCCTTGGGGGCTTGGAGTGGAGTGTCTGGCCTTGGCCGTAAATTACACACATCTAGTAATTTTAGGAAAATGTATGAACTCCTCTTTTGGCTGTGAACACACGACTCCCTTTTTTCCTCCTCTGGAGCTGTGAGGTTGGCAGGCTGCACCCAGCTTCATTAATTCCCAGAATGTCAGCAGAACCTGTTGGGATAAGTGAAGACTCAGATATGTAGTTAAGAACTGGGAGAAGGCCGTGGAGGCTTCGTGGAGAGATGGGGCGCAGCGTGCCGAGGGGACGTGCCTGTCGGTGTGCTGCACGTCCTGCAGGGGCCTGGATGCAGCAGGCTGGGCCTTCAGGACTGAGGTCCATGTGGCTGGGAGTGAGCCATGGTGGGTAGAGTGTGGGTGTCGCCCCGCCCACCTGGGCTGCAGCTGCCTGCCGCCCTGCGTTCTTGCACGGAACCTCATTTCTCTTGCTTCCTTCTCCTCATCTGTGCAGTCTGTTCTGTGGTTTCACACCTATGGCTGCCTTGAAGCTTGAAGAAGGTAAATGAGGGCTGCGGTGGCACCCTGCGGTGGCACCACGTCCGTGTTGGGGGTCCTGTTCCTGTCTGACACCCAGCAGTTTTGTCCTCTGGTGTGGGGTTAGGGGAAGCCAGGGCTGGAGGAGCCACTTGCACCCCAGGTCTCTGTGGGTATCTGGTAAGGCTGCTGGGACTGGGGGCCCAGGAAGACTCTGGGGTTCTAGTGAAAGGAAGGGCCTAGAATCACTCACCCCCTGCCACGGACCCTTTGGCTGCACGCTCAGAATTGTCCTTTGCACTGTGTGTAATTCTTAGATTCCTGTCCCATTTCCCAGTTCTAGGGGGAGCCCCGAGTGAGCGTGGGCAGAGTGGTGGTCTGCATAGCAGTTGCTCAATGTTCCTTTATTGGATGCGATGCCAGAGGCCTTACCTGAGTCCCGTTCCCTTCAGCAACATCCACCAAGGCCCTCCTGGGGCTCCCCCTGTGTCAGAGGCGTCACCCCCCGTCCCCCGCCCCCCTTCCCCAACCACACACACACAGCCCCTGCCAATCTGCATGGTACCTACCGGCCGTTCAACACACCTCCTTGAGACCCTGCCCAAGCCACAGGCGGGAATTTGGAAAAAGTTTTCCAGGACCTTCCCGAGCTTGCTCTTTCCCACTCTCTTCAGCATTTCCTCCTAGACTGGGTTCCTCCAGTCCTCCACGCCTGTCCCGGGGATGTGTCTCAGATTCGAGTCGGAGCACGTTCCTCCTGCAGGCTAAAGCCTGCTGTGGCTCCCCACTGCCCTCAGGGTGAAGCCTGTGCTCTCCTCCCAGCTGCAGGCCTTGGCATTTCCATTCTCCCTCTCCTCTCACACCTTCTGCTGCAGCCAAGCAAGCTGTGGGGTTCACTGAACTGGGGAGACTGCTCTGTTCCCCGACCCTTCACTCATACTGCCCTCTCTTCCTGGAGGACTTCACAATCTGAAGAGCTCATCCTGGTGCTACACTGCTCTCAGAACCCTCTCCCGGTCCTCCCAGCAGGCCGGGTGCCCACCTTTTGTGCCCTGCTGGCTTCTTGCAGACTCCACTGCTGCACCTGGGGCATGCTGGCATATTTCCTCGCTTGCTGGTGTGTCTCCCACAGGGCCCTGAGCTCCTGGAGGCATCTCGGTGTCGCCGGAGCAAGCTGTGGGGCTGAAGACACTTGGACACACGCATTGTCTGGCCCTCCATCCACTGCACAGGCTCCAGCAGGGCCCGCAGAGTGCTCGGGCGGTGCCTGGCCTCCCCTAGCAGTGGGCAGCGCTGCGGCAGGGCTGCGGGCAGAGGCAGCGGAAGCACCAAGGGCAGTGAGGGAGGCGCAGGCGGGGCAGGCTGGGGCTGCTGGGCCCTGACAAGCACTGTGGAATATTTGTGGCTGCCCAGGCTTTGAGCGGTGGTTGCAGAGGAATTGTAAGTATGTGTGCCGTGTAAACACAGGTCACACTGAAATGCGCTGACGGGTGGGGAGTGCTGGGGTGGGGCTGTGTGGCCTCCCTCTCTGGCCCTCTGCTTTTGGGGGAAGTCTAACCAGATGGCAGAGGCCCAAGTGAAAGTTTTTCTTTCAGGAGATGCTGGGTCCTGGTTATGGGGCATGGGCATGGGGCAGATGTGCCCACCCGGCACCCCTGTGGGGAATCCGGTTCACTTGCATCTCTGCTGAGAGGGGAAGTGGAAGCTCCCACAGGTCAGGAGAGGTGGGACCCACTTCACACCTGGCTGTGTCTCTTGTGCAGCCTGGAGACTTTCCCTCAGACCACACCACACCTGGCTGAAGAGGAGCTGACCGTGGTGCCAGGCTCCGCCACCCCCAGTGATAGTGCACACCCTCAGCAAGCGTGCCCCGTAGAAGGGCTCTGAGCCAAGGGCCCTGGAGACCCTGCTTCTAAAGGGGCGCCCCTGCCCCCGGCTGGACTGCCAGGAAGGAGGGCGCCTGTCTGTCATCCAAGGAGCAGGGTAGGTGGGTGGGGGAAAGGGGGTGGAGGCACAGGTGGTGCAGGGGAGGTGGCGTATGTGGCTTCTGGGCTGGCATGCCAGGGATGTCGCAGGGCAGCTGGCGCTGGGGAAGGTGGCAGGAAAGCAGCGAGCTTTCGCATTTCAGCCAGTTTATCCATTTTGAAGCCAGGACTCCACTTGTGTTTGTCATGTAGACTTTCTCACCACACCCCAGACCCTCCCCTCCCTCCCTTCTCACCCTGTTGAGTCCAGAGTGTTGCCCCCAGCAGCGCTGGCTCAGGAGGCTGCCAGCCAGCCACGCATGGGCCCAGGAAGGCCGTAAATCAAGCACGGCGGTGCACTCTCCATCTTGAGGAATTTGGAGGAAAAACAGATGGTTGTAGCTGGGCGACATTTACTTTCTGTCTGTCAATATTTGAGAGGTTTTATTACTTTGCAGTGCCAGGTTTTAGAATAAATTAAATGGCTAATGGAAATATTAAAATAGAATTAATTTAACTAAGCAAATACAACTGGGAGAGTCGGTACGATTTGTTTAGAAGTTACTAAATTTATTTTCAAAATGAAGCCTCAGGGAAGGAAATAATTCCTTACCCCCTTGGGTCAGAGCTCAGCCAGACAGACTCCACCAGGCACTCTCTGGGGGCCGGGACCTGGTCTGGCGTCAAGCAGCAGCTGGGCTGGCCTGGACAAGCCTGCCCGGGTGCTCACAGCCCGGCAGGGGAGACACGCACGAGCCCCAGCCTTGCCTGGGCTCCCATCAGGGAGTTGCCAAGCACATGCGCAGGGCTGGGAGGCGGGTCTGGGGAGGCTGGACTCTGCCTGCCACATCTCCGTCCCATCCCCCAGTCCCTAAGGGCCTGAGGTTAAAGATGCAGAGGATACTTCAGTCCTATCCCTGCCCTCAGTGAGCTCACAATTGAGGAAGGCAAGCAAGAAGTTAACAGGGAACAGGCAAGATGCAGTCAAATGTCTGTCCCATTCTAGTGACATCAGAGGCATGCTCAGGGTGCGCTGGCAGAGTATAGGCCAAGTTTTTTGTTTGTTTTTATTAAAGCAATATTGATTTGGTGCCCATTTTAATGCTTTGAGATAAATATGGAAGCAATTATTTGCCCAGCAGCACTAACTGCCTCATCTGGGCCCTGCCTTTTTGCCAGAAACTCCACCATTAGAAAGTCTTTTCTTAGACTAGAGCATTGCCCTTTGTGTGTCTTTTACAATGCAAGTGGTGAGACCACCGACGTCCCCACCCTAATGCTTTCCTCGGAAACAGAGAGCTGGGCCCTAGAGGCTGTGGTTCTTGAGAGGGGGTGAGAGTGCAGAGCGGGGAGGTGGCGGTCCAGAAGGTGGAAGGGACCTGGCCTTCATCACGGGCGGTCCAGGGCGTCTTCAGTTATCACTCATGCAGTCCCACCCTGGGCTGGGGTGCGGGGAGGGCCTGGTGATGTCTTCAGACTTCATCCCACATGGATGAGGACCCATGGACAAGTGGACCAGGGCGGGGAGGCCTGACTCACCCTCCAGGAAGACGAAGAGCCCTGCTACTCTGGGCCTGGGGCACTTCGGGCGCCCAGGATCACCCTCAGCAGTCTCGGAGGGGTCTGGGCCTTCCTGTTTCTCTGGCACACTGCTGCCCCTTTGGGGAAGGACCCAGGAATGTGACGGGCCATCCTTGCCATGAGGTTGCAGGGCCTTCCTCCCAGGGACCCGCCCTCTCCTCTGGCCGGTGCCTTAGCACCTGACAGCAGGCGAGGGACTCACTGGTTTTCTAGAGCGCCTTTGCCCTCCGTGTCCTGGCTGTCTGTCTCAGTCGCTTAGTGCTGCTACAACAAAACACCCAAGGATGGGTAACTGATGAAGAACAGACAGGTCTCCTCTGGCAGCTCTGGAGGCTGGAAGTCCAGGATCAGGGGGCCGGCAGGTTAGGTGCCTGGTGAGGGCTGCTCGCCACTTCCAGGATGGCACCTGGTGCTGAGTCATCCGGAGGCGAGGCGTGCTGTGTCCCCTGCAGTGGAAGGTGGAAGAGTCAAGCCCTTTCATAAGCACAGCTAACCCCTCTAGAAGAGGAGGAGTCCCCCAGCCTGGTCACCTCTTAAAGGCTCCACCTCTTGACACGTTCAAGCCTACTGGCAATACCTGTACTTTGGAGGGGACATGCTCAAACCATTGTGTCCCCCAACCTTGATTTGTTCTGATGGCAGACCTTAAGCCATTGCCTGGCTCTCGGCACTCGCTGGCCACTCAGCTCTTGTTCATCATGCACTCACGCCTGCTTCTGGCTGTGGCACTGCTGCCTGGCCTCCGCTGGGTTGGGCTCCTGTCCTTGCCCCTGCTGCTCACAGCTGAGGTCTGCAGCAGTGTTTCCTGCCATCAGCCCAGCCTGCGAGGACCTCCAAGAGTGTGTCGCTCACGGGGTCTTCTCATGGGGGTGTGGGGCGTCCCCCAGCCATTCCTGGGAACATGGAACCTGGTGGGTTTCCTTCCTATGCAGCCCATCTGCTCACGCAGCCCACTTCTGAGAGCCTCCGCTGTGCCTCTGCTGTCTGCTGTGGCAACGCTGGCATTTCCGCTTCTCACAGACCCTGCTTCTTGCAAGCTTCCAGGAGACGGGAGCCATAAGCATGAGCTCTGTTACCCGGGTCCTTCCAGGAGGCTAAAGCCCTCCATGCCGGCACTTCCTTCCTTACCCGCGGTTCTGAACCTTGATGTGGCACTCCCAAATGGGCATGTATTCCCCTGCTACGGCATGCCACCTGGCCCTGCAGCCCTCTGGGAACACAGGGAGGTGATCTCATTCTTCCTCTCACAGACCAGCGCCTTCCCACTGGGGTGTGCCAGCTGTGATGCTGGTTGCAGGAGGGAGGGGGCACTTGTCTCTGGCACTGCCTGGAACCTGCCTCATTTGAGTCGCCACAGGGGCTTCAGTCAGGTGGGGCACTGCCTCCTCATAGGGGAGTGGACTGCGCTGCCCTCTCCTCTTAGTGGATTCCAGGATCTAGGAATTGCATCTCTAAGTGTCGACATCCCTGACCTCGAGTCCCATTCTTCGCACACTGGAGCCCTGAATGTGTTGTGGGGAGTATTCCTGGGCTAGAATTCCATCTTTTCTGAAGCGTGGTGCTTGTGCAGTCGGGTCCTGAGCTCCCTTTCTGCTCTCTGTCCTTGGCTCAGATTAGGGCTTCCCTCCTTGCTGTCAGGGAGGCCCCTGAGATTTCACCTTGTGCCTTGAATGAGTCATTGATTGCCCTAAGCCTGTTTTCATTTTCAGTGAATCGGTGACCTCAGCCAAGTGCTGTCCGGTTCCCTGGTCCTATGTGACCACTTCTCTCAGGGCCAGCGATGCTGCCCTGGCCCCTGCGTCCTCCTCTGCAGGTCTCCCGGCCCTGCTCACCATAGGCACGATTCACCTTTTATGCCTTGGCAGCACCCAGAGCTCTCCAGTCTCCATCTCCCAGGGGTGGCGGGTCTCCATTGTCCCCGGGCTGGTCAGAGGGCTGTCTCCAACATCTGCCTTTGGAATCAGCCTCCCAGGTCCGCTGCCAGAGCTGACTGTCCTAGGTGGGCTTCCTGGAAACAGAGGCAGAGTTGGAGAGTTGGGTGGGGTGATTTCAGAAGGTGTCTCTGCAGGGAAGCGGGCTGTGGGGCTGGGCAGAGGGAGGCTCTGGGCAGTTGAACTAAGGCTTTGGCTGGTCCTACAGCACTGAGACTGGGGACAGCCCCCAGAGCTGTGCCTCGTGAAGGTGAGGGGCTAGGCCTTTGGATCCCTCACCAGGCAGCCAGGGGCCTGCAGACCAGCCCTGGAAGGGGCTGCAGTCTTGGGCGAGGGGCTGCCAGCGAGGCATGCTTCCCAGCTTCCCAGCATCTGCCTGGCACGCGCTCACAGGACAGGAGCTGCTCTCTAGGTGCCAGACAGTGGCTCACTGCCAGGAGGAGGAAGGGTCCAGCTTGTCCGCTGCTGCTGAGGAGCAAGTGAGATGTGGACTGGGACCGTCCCTTGCTCCAGGGGAGGGGTGGGGCTGAGCACCCGAGCAGAGAGGGGTTTGGAGCAGGTCACTGCAGATGCTGAAGGCTGGTTGTGGGTGTCCTCTGTGGCCTTGCCCAAGCTCGGGCTTCGGTGGATAGGACAACTCTTTCCTTTTGTCTCCCGTTGTGTTCCTCTCTCCAGCCCACACATTCCAGGAAGGTGGGGGAGGAGGAAAGGCAGAACAAAGCTGCCAGGGCCAAAGAACATCCTGGTCTTAATTGAAATGTTCAAAGAGACAATCCTGTAGGATTTGAAGCTGTAAACAAAGCAAGTTTGCACTCTCCCCGCCCTCTCGTTTACCCACCTATCATCCTTCCCCCTTCCCGCCTCCCGCCTGTCCATTCACTCCTCCGTCTGTCTGCACGAGCAGGTCTGTAGCTAGCAGCCAGCCCAGTGAGGGACAGGCCGCGCTTCCCTGGGCACGGGCGCTGGCTCTCCCTTCCCCGGGCTGGACCCAGCCTGTCTGAACGATGGCACAGCTCCAGCTTTCCTTAAATCAAGAGAGGAAAATATTTTGGAAAGGGGCTAAATAGCACTTAATTTGCCATGTGGTTGGAATTAACAGACAGCACTTCCCACCAGGCTTTGAAGGGCTCGGCGGTGGAGGCCTTGCTCTCTCTTGGTTCAAAGCCACGTTGTCAGGGCCTGTGGACATCCCAGGCTGGGCCGGAGCCCGCACAGCACATTGTGGGTAAATGTTTGCCTTCAGTGGCTACACTGAGGGGCGGCCGGAGCCCTGGGAAAGCCTGCCTCCTCACGCTGGCAATGCCTCTCTGAACTTGTAGGAGCAACAGCTCGGGGCTCAGGTTCTCCAGGAAGGCAGACATCACAGAGAGGTGTCCAGGGACCCCTGATGAGTGCACTCACTGGGAGCTCAACTCAGACCCTCTGGTTTCTTCTGTCTTGCTCAGGTCTTGCTCCCAAACGGCTAGGAGCCCCACGCAGCTAGCAGCGGAAAAGGCGAGGAGAAGGGGGCACTGCAGAGAGCACTGGTCAGTGTCATTACAAACTCATCCACACACACTTTAAAGCCCCGTGATATTCCGCCTTAAGGATCCACCGTCGTGCACTCACCCGCCTCCTGCTGCTGAGGGCCCCGGGCTGCTTCAAGACCCAAATACGTAATCACCTCTTAGATGAGGTTCCTAGAGGCGAGCCTGCTGGGGTGAGGCACGAGTGCCGCCGTCGCTGTGAGCCTCGCATGCCTGTGAGTTGCACACTCCACCTTGGCGGCTGAGCGCCACCTCAGCGTCCCCAGGCTCTGGCCCCCTGGGAGTGCCTTCCGACCTCCCCTGGACGTGGCAGCCCCTGTTCTCCCTCCATCTCACACCCTCGCTCTTGGCACTGGCGGAGCTGCAGGTCGTGAGGGCTGCCGTCCGAGAGTCCCTGCCTGGGAAGTCTGGCCCTCTGAGCCTCGTCTGCCACCGTGGAGAGCCTGGCCGTGTCTCCGTGCTGCAGCGGCCCCCGAGGGAGTGGATCTGTGAGCCCCAGAGCCTCGGCAACTCGGGGTGAAGATGTCACACGTGGTAAGATGACCTTGCAGACATCCGGGACCCCTGCCTGTCAGTGGGGAACCCGCCGGGCCACCGTCAGCTCTTTGGAGCCCAGCCCAGCCTTCTACCTTCTCTCTGGAACAGTCTGGGGCTTCTTTCCACCCCAACAGCGTTCTGAGAGCTGCGCGGTCTGGCTGGTGCCAGGGACCCCGGCCCACTGCGTACATCAGGGCAAGTGTGCAAAGGGGAGCCCCCTCCTTGGGGTATGTGCCCGTCAGCCTGAGAGTCTAGCTTGGTCTCTCACTCTGACCGACCCCACGGCTCTGGGTCCCAGTGCAATGAGTGTCCTTTCTGGGCACAGAGTGTGGGAAGCGATGGGTCCCTGCTCCTCTCCCTCACCTTCCAGTTCATCCTGTGGGTGTCCCAAATATATATGAGGGTCCAAGCATCCAGTTTTAGGCCCAGGGCCAGTTCAGACAGGTCAGGGCCCCGAGGGGATGATGGAGCCCTAGACTCCGACGCATGGCCTGACCGTGGCCCGGGAGTGTGTCCTGGATGAGTCCGAACTAGTGATTCCCATGGGGATGCTGCTCACCCCCACAGAGAGGGAGTCCCAAACACACAACCAGGAAGTGAGCTTCGGAGGAGAGGATGAGCTCGGCACGGGCCGGGCGCCCAGGCTGCTGGACATCCCCACGGCTGAGCTTAGGGGCAGAGGACACTCGTGCAGGCCTGTGTGGACCCCTGAGTCCAGGGAGGCTCCTCACGGGGCCCTGTCAGAGTGTCCCTGCACACGTGACCTGCATATCCTCCCTAGTGTCTGGAGACCAGGCCCGAGGAGGAGTGGGCAGTGCCGGCACAGGGGTCAGGACTGCAGCGCCCTGGGAGCCTGTGAGCAGGAATGCAGAGTGAGCAGGGAGGGCGACGGCCAGGAGAAGTGGGCATGGACCCGTCGCAGGCACAGCTGGCCTTGCAAGCCCCTGCCAGTGCAGAGTTCTTTACCTCAGCTTTGTGACCACGGGCAGCTCAGTTCCTCATCTGTGACACGGAATGAGACTCACAGGGGTATTAGGAGAATTCAGAAAGAGGACAGGTGTAGAAGCTGCGTGACAGCTGGAGACACCCCACCTGGCTCCTTCCTCTCTGCAGTGACATCTCAGGGTCTCCCACCCCCTTTCCCTCTCCTTGGGACCAGGGACCTAGGACCCTCATGCTATTGCTGCCCTGTCCTAGGGAGGCTGATGGCCATGCCTGATGGTGTCCAAAGGCTCTGAGCACGTGAGCCCCTCTGGGGAGGCCTCTTAGACGCAGATAACAGCTGCCATTTGGAAATCTTCAGCAATTACACTAAGTGCCTGCTGCGCTGGTTAAAGAAGCTGTTGCGATGCCATGCTGAACTGCGTTTGCACGTGATGCTGTTTGATCTAGTTCCCACAACAATCCTGCCAGGTGCCTGTTATCTTCCCTGCTTCATGATGAAGGACCCAGAGAGCCCAGAGAGGCTGAGGAACTCGCCGTAGGCTACATAGCTACTTACAGGTGGAGTAGAGATTTAAAGAGTTCCTTGATGCTGACCAGGGGCTAGCCACCTTCCTTCAGAGTGAGACCCTGGGCTGTGCCAGGATTCAGACAGGGCTCTGCCTCTCACTAACTGTAATGTGCCCTTGAGCCCATCAGGTGACCGTTCTGTGCCTCAGTTTCCTCATCAAGGACATGGGATTCTTGGGACTGCTTGAGTTAATGCAGGTAAAGCGCCTACAACAGTTCCTGGTGCACAGGAAGCGATCATTTCACTCAGCCCCTGCTGCTCTTCAGGCCTAGGATCTCAGGTTGTGTTTTTCTGCAGTAAAAAGCCTGGCGAGTGAGCTCACTGAGCCCCTACGGTTTGAGCTGAGCAAACAGGTGAGAAACGCTCTGTCAACACCATGTGCTGGGTGAGGGCCGGGCCACCTGTGCACAGGTTTTGGTGGGGTCCTCTGGGGCTGGTGGAGGAGAGGAGGGGGCTTCTGGGGGAATCCTGAGGGACTGGGGTCAGGCCCAGAGCTGAGTGCATGGATAGGGCACTTGCTAGACAGAGCCTGGAGGGGCAGGCATGGGGAAGTGCTCTCTTTCACCAGATCCTTGACTGTAGCTTGCACACATGTTACTTGCTCTGCTAAACAATTTATTATACACTCTGCTCAAATGGTACCTTTTTTTTTTTTTTTTTTGAGACAGATTCTCGCTCTGTCACCCACCCTGAAGTGCAATGGCGTGATCTGGGCTCATTGATTGCAACCTCTGCCTCCCAGATTCAAACGATTCTCCTGCCTCAGCCTCCTGAGTAGCTGGGATTACAGGTGTGCACCACCACGCCCAGCTAATTTTGTATTTTTAGTAGAGACAGGGTTTCTCCATGTTGGTCAGGCTGGTCTCCTGACCCTGTGATCCACCCACCTTGGTCTCCCAAAGTGCTGGGATTACAGGCGTAAGCCACCATGCCAGGCAGGTACATTTCTTTTTATTTTAAGACAGGGTACAGGGTCTTGCTCTGTCACCCAGGCTGGAGTGTAGTGGCGCCATCACAACTCATTGCAGCCCCCACCAGCCAGGCTCAAGTGATCCTCCCACTTTCACCTCCCAAGTAGTTGGGAACACAGGTGTGCACCACCACGCTCAGCTAATTTTTAAATCTTTTGTAGCGATGGGGGTCTCACTGTGTTACCCAAGCTGGTCTTGAACTTCTAAGTTCAAGTGATCCTCCCACTTCAGCCTCCCAAAATGTTGGGATTATAAGCGTGAGCCACTGGGCCTGGCCTAAAATCATACGTTTTCTTATTGCCGAAAAGATTTTGTTTAAAATATACAGTTGACCCTTGAACAACATGAGTTCATTTATATGAGGACTTTTTCCATGTCTGCCACCCCTGAGACAGCAGAGACCAAGCCCCTCCTCCTCAGTCTCTCAATGTGAAGATGTGAGGATGAAGACCTTTATGATGATTCACACTCACTTAATGATTAATAAATCTGTGTTCTCTATGATTTTCTTAATAACAGTTTCTTTTCTCTAGCTTACTTTATTGTAGGGATGCAGTATAGAATACATAGAACATAGAAACTGTGTGTGAATTGACTGTGTGTGTTATCGGTAAGCCTCCGGGTCAACAGTAGGGTATTTGCAGTTAAGTTTTGGGGGAGTCAAAAGTTATACACAAACTTTTTACTGTTGGAGGGGTTGGCATCCCTAACCCCTGTGTTGTACAAGGGTCAACTGTATTTTAATATATTTTCTTTAAATTATATTACATTTCTTTCTTTTTTGAGATGCAGTCTCACTCTGTTGTCTAGGCTGGAGTGCTGTGGCATGATCTCGACTCACTGCAACCTCCGCCTGCTGGGTTCAAGCGATTCTCCTGCCTCAGCCTCCCGAGTAGCTGGGACTATAGGAACATGCCACCGCACCCGGCTAATTTATGTAGTCTTAGTAGAGATGGAGTTAAACCATATTGGCCAGGCTGGTCTCGAACTCCTGATCTCAGGTGATCCACCCGCCTTGGCCTCCCAAAGTGCTGGGATTACAGGTGTGAGCCATCGCGCCCGGCCCAAATTTCTACATATTATAAAATACATGTTTGTATATATTAAACATGTTTCTATTAATATAGTTATATACTAAATATGTCTATGTTAATATATTTTATGTGTTTATATTTAAACTTTTTTGTTTAAAATTGTATTTATTTTATTTTGAATAGATAGTATCTAGACATGGTAAAACCAACTCCAGAAAAGTGAAATGGTACATGAACGCTCCCCCTCACCTCTGTCCCCAGCAGCTCATGCCCCTTTCCAGGCACCACTGCCTCTGACTTCCTGTGAATCTTTCCAGAGGTACCTTGTTCTACAAGAGCCAGTGCATTCTTTTTGCCCCATTTCCTCTCCTCAAATGGCTGCACGTTGCTTTTTGGCTTCTCAGCACGTCCTGGGGATTAGTGTAGATTGACGCGTAAGGAGCGCCCTGATTTCAGTGGCTGCCAGGCTTCCATCGTGTGGATTTAGTATATAATTCAATGAACACACCCTGAGGATGGCCAGTCAGGGTGACGGCTCCTTCAGGAGACACTCATTGTCTTCCTCCGATCCGGCTGCTATCACAAAATCCCTGACACTGAGTAATTTACAAACAATGGAAATGTGTTGCTCACAGTTCTGGAGGCTGGGAAGTCCAAGATCGAGGTGCCAGCAGACCTGGGGTCCCGGGAGGGTTCACTTTTCACGGATGGTGCCTTCTGTGTCCTCACCTGGTGGGGGCCGAGGGGCGCAGGCTCCCCGGAGCCTCTTTTACAAGGGCACTGGTCCATTCACAAAGGTGCCACCAAGCTCCCCGTCTCTGAACACGGTGGCACTGGTGGTTAGATTTTCACGTATGAGTCCTGGGGACACTGGGATTCAGATCATAGCACTCACTGTGGCAAAGGTGCAGCTCACATCACAGTGGCCTAACAAAATGAGTCATTGTTTCTCAGTCATATAGGGTCCCAGTGGCATTTGCTTCAGGTTTATTGAGGTACAACTGGCAAATAAAATTGTATGTATTTAAAGCATACAACATGATGATATGATATGCAAATACACCGTGAAGGGACCAGCTCAATACGCACTTCTGTTTCCTCACAATCACCTTTTCTTTTAGGTAAGAAAGCTTGAGGTCACCTGGCACGGTGGCTCATGCCTGTAATCCCAGCACTTTGGGAGGCTGAGGCAGGTGGATCATGCAGTCAGGAGTTCGAGACCAGCCTGACACCAGCCCTGTCTCTACTAAAAATACAAAAATTAGTTGAGCGTGGTGGCATGCATCTATAATCCCAGCTCTTCAGGAGGCTGAGGCAGGAGAATTGCTTGAACCTAGGAGGTGGAGGTTGCAGTCGAGCTGAGACTGTGCCACTGTAGTCCAGCCTGGGCGACAGAGTGAGACTCCATCTCAAAAAAAAAAAAAAAAAAAAAAAAAAGAAAAAAGCTTGAGCTCTTAGCAGATTCAAGTATGTAGTGCAGTATTATTGGTATTATTAGCTTGGTCATCTATGCTGAACATTCAATCCTCAGCCTTACTCATCTTTTTTTTTTTTTTTTTGAGACGGAGTCTTGCTCTGTCACCCAGACTGGAGTGTCAGTGGCGCGATCTCGGCTCACTGCAACCTCTGGCTCCCGGGTTCAAGTGATCTGCTGCCAGCTCCATTATTTGCTGTCGCACACCACCACGCCTGGCTAATTTTTGTATTTTCAGTAGAGACAGGGTTTCGCCATGTTGGCCAGGCTGGTCTCCAACTCCTGACCTCAGGTGATCTGCTTGCCTCGGATTCCCAAAGTGCTGGGATTACAGGCGTGAGCCACTGTGTCCGGTCTCTTACTCATCTTCGAACTAGAAACTCGTACCCTTCGACCAACATCTCCCTATTTCCCTCACTCAGGCCCCTGGCCCCTGCCAACTGCTCTGCTTCCCAATTGGCGTTTTCATCAGCATGAGGCTCTCCTTCAAGGCAGCACCAGGCCCTCCCCAGGGGCTCTTCCACGGTCTCCACCCAGCAGCTTCCCTGCAGCGGTGATGACTGATGGGATCAGTATGGGAAGGGTTCAGGACTGCCCCATGTATGGACAGTACTGTGTCGGCCCCGCTGTCTGTAGGGAGGCCGAAGTGATCTGCCTGGGTGTCTGGAGGAAAGGGAAATGGTGTGGCAAGCAATACATCTTCTCTCTTACCAGCCCTCCCAGCCTCTGCTCTAACATCATGGCTGCAGAGTAAGAGGGGGACATTCTGACCTCATCCCTCTGCGGTATGGCTGTGTCCTTATTATAACACCCAGGCTGCACCATGGACCCAGCACTGCGTGACCGGAGCTGGCCAGCTTATGTCCTCTGCTGGGGTCCCGGTGGGGAGGTACTGCGGACCCAGGAGTGATCACAGCCCTCTGGCCTGCCCAAGCTTCAGAGGCTGCTTGTCAGGTGGCCGCACCCAGGAAGGAGTCATGCTCAGGCCCCCCTGACACTTGACTCCAGTGCATGCTGGGGTCCTGAGGGTTAGGGACATGGACCTCCGACAGGCTGGGAAGCCCAGTGCCCACCAGTGCCTGAGACCCTCTGGAAACCACGGCAGGCCTCCAATGGAGGGGAGATGGGACGGTATAGTTCCCTCCCGTCTGTCTCTAATCGAATCTGGTCTAACGTAATCTAAATGAAACTGTCTCAATCCATTTCTGACCTTCCGCATGCCTATGTTTCCACAGTTACCATTTTCCTTGGGGAAATGGGTTGGTAATGCCTGTGTGTGTGCATGTGTGTGTGTGCACACACACGTGTCGGGGCACGGCGCTCAGGCCATTAAGGATTAGGAGATAAAGCTGTGTCTTCGGCTGTCCCTGACTGGGCAGTAGCTTCCACTGAGCTCCATTTGTGTTGCTAAGAATCCAGGCTCCAGGAGCCCCCGGAACGTGGTGGTGGTCATCTTTCTGGGCGAGGGTGTGAGAGATGGCATCCCACCCTAGGTACGTAGCAGAGCCCAGGGATGGCCTGGGCAGTCCTCCACCCCACGACCCCAGAGCAAGCCCCAAACATAGTGTCTTCCATTTCAGATTGGAGACTCTTTTCCTCCTCCTGCATGTTGCTGGATAAGAGAAATACTTTGCATTTAATAGGATGTGATGTTTTAGAAAATTTGGATCAACTAAGGGTCATACTTTTGCATTTCCCCAAGCGCCTGGAGATGTCTTACCTCATTTTGTCTGCTCTTGGACTAAGTGTCTGCCATGGAAATAATTTTCAACTTCTGTTTCAAAATGGTGGACTGAACTTAAGCTCCTCCCTCTAGAAATTATTTGAAAAGGAAACTAAGTAAATACACAAACGTGATCAAAAACAAAGATGAGAACCCTCAGGGCACCAGACATTGCAAGGAACCCCTGCCGAGAAGAAAGCAGGCAGGGTTGGAGGGAGAGCGGCCCCGGCTGGGGCTGAGGGAGAGTCCTGGAGAGGCAGAGGCCGGCAGGCAGGGCGTGGATCCACCCAAGAGGGAGGCCTAGCAGCTGCCTCCGAGGATCCATCTGGGCTCCCCAGCGGTGGCAAGTGGGAGCTGATAAGGTGCTTTTCCCCCTACTTGGTCCAGGCAGCAGTGACGGGGGCGTCTGATTCCCGCTGGGAACAGAGATCTCGCCTTA